AAACCTTAGATCATATAAACATGGATGGAGCGATGCAATTACACTATGTCGCCAACATGTTCTGATTCAAGACTCTACATACTTTTGTGCTGTATCTCTCTTGTCGACGTACAATTTATATGTTGTTATTCCATGTACAGTTTCAGTGTTAGTAACCAATCAGAAAATTCAAATCTTTAACCTCACAATGTTAATAAACAATGCAATATTTATTATTTAGGGTAAAAAAGGTTCTCAATACATGAATAAATACATCTTTATAGGACAATTTAGTGGTACAGAACAGTATTAAAAGTTTAGTTTCATATACAACCATGTAAAGTCAAGCAAGGTTAAGCAACAAAAACAGCTGTTTGCGAATATAGGATGTCAAACGGACAAACGTCCTTACAATCGCCAAGCTTGCGCACTTTTACAATCAACCCGGCAAAGGATAAATACATTACAACTTACTAATAGTAAAAGATGATAGGCATAAAAATGCACGTTGGAATGTTGGCGACGGTTGTCTTTTAGTAGAGCTTATGAGATAGCTCTATCCATGTTTATATGATCTAAGAAAAAAAATATTTATATACGCTTTAAACAGCGCGAAGTTATTTTCGTGCGCATATTTAATTGATATTTTTGACCTCGGCTTCGCCTCGTCATATATACTTCTTCAGTCTCAATGCGCGTAAATTGAACTTCTCTTCGCTGGGTTTTGTTTATATAAAATACTTTTATGGAAGCAGTATTTGTTTTTGTAACTCAAATACTTCCACAAATATTTAGTATTCGAATACTTCGCAAAGTATTTGGATACTTCGTAAAGTATTCGAATACTTCGCAAGGTATTTGAATACTTTGAGAAGTATTCGGATACTTCGCATAGTATTTGAATACTTAACCTTCCTTTTTTTTACCAAAAATCGACTACTCCAAAATTTCTCGGGAAAACACTTTTTCTTATTAATTTTGGTGCGTAGAATCCAAAACAATTCGTACTTTTTCGATTAGATTTTTCAATCAAAAGTTATAGACTAGAAACCAATTTCGAAAGAAAATTCAAAGGGCTGTAACTTTTGAAATAGTAGCCCAATCTTAGAACTGTTTGAAATTATGGATTCTACAGGCCACATTCTATAAGAAAATTTTTTTCCGGGTCGATCTGAGACAATTTTTTTTTCGGGGCTCAAAAAAAAGCAGTGTATAACCTTCCTTTTTTACCAAAAATCGACTGCACCAAAATTTCTCGGGAAAACACTTTTTCTTATTAATTTTGGTGTGTAGAATTCAAAACAATTCGTACTTTTTCGATCAGACTTCTCAATCAAAAGTTATAGACTAGAAACCAATTTCGAAAGAAAATTCAAAGGGCTGTAACTTTTGACCTAGTAGCCCAATCTTGGAACTGTTTGAAATTATGGATTCTACAGGCCACATTCTATAAGAACATTTTTTTCCCGGTCGATCTGAGACAATTTTTTTTGCGAGCCTCAAAAAAAGGCAGTGTATAACCTTCCTTTTTTACCAAAAATCGACTACACCAAAATTTCTCGGAAAAACACTTTTTCTTATTAATTTGGGTGCGTAGAATCCAAATCAATTCGTACTTTTTCGATCAGACTTCTCAATCAAAAGTTATATAGACTAGAAACCAATTTCGAAAAAAAATTCAAAGGGCTGTAACTTTTGAACTAGTAGCCCAATCTTGGAACTGTTTGAAATTATGGATTTTACAGGCCACATTCTATAAGAAAATTTTTTTTCCGGGTCGATCTGAGACAATTTTTTTTTCGGGCCTCAAAAAAAGGCAGTGTTATACCTTCCTTTTTTACCAAAAATCGACTGCACCAAAATTTCTCGGGAAAACACTTTTTCTTATTAATTTTGGTGCGTAGAATCCAAAACAATTCGTACGTTTTCGATTAAACCTCTCAATAAAAAGTTATGGACAAAAATCAAATTTCGAAAAAAATTCAAAGGGCTGTAACTTTTGATCTAGTAGCCCAATCTTCAAACTGTTTGAAATTATGGATTCTACGGGCCAAATTCTATAGGAAAATGTTTCCCGGTCGATCTCAGACAATCTTTTTTTCCGGCCTCAAAAAAAGGCAGTACTTTTAAGTTATTCAAATATTTGAGAACAATTTAGAAATGTTTAGGGAAAGTTTCCATTGTCACAAAATCAGATATAAAAATCCCATACATCTGAATACCGAACTCGATAGTCTACGTAACTTAAAAACAATAGGGACCTTTCTTATATCCTTAAGACCATGTGTACCAATTTTCAAAGCGATCGCACGTTTCTAAACGAGTTATCATGCACACGGACAAACGGATGGTCAAAAATGGATCGGTTCCAAAATCGCTAGGATTATTTTCAGAAAGGCGTACGTATCATGTGCACGACGCTTTGAAAACTGGTACACGTATTCTTAAGGATATAACTGGTATAAGAAAGGTCCTGGTAGGTACCTCCTATATAATAATATAATAATAATAATACGCTTTTACTCCCCTTAAATTTGTATATAACAATAGAAATATAAAGAAAGCTAACCCCATACAAAGTATAACTTGATTTTTTAAGTAGTATTAAGACTTTTATCTAGTATACTATTTTAAATTTTTAATGTATTTGAGTGACAAGTATTTGAATACTTTTTACTGTACTCAAATACTTTTCAAAGTAAGTTAATGAAATACTTTTCAAAGTTTTCGAATACTTTTTATAGTATTCGAATACCTTTGAAAGTATTCGAATACTTTTGAAAGTATTCGAATACATTCTAAAGTATTTGAATACTTATTTTTTTAAGTATTTGAATACTTTTCAATGTATCTGTATCTAGTATTCGCTTGTGCTGGACGTAAAAGTATTTAGTATTCAAATACTTTTTGAAAGTATTCTGCCCAGTTCTGACCACAACAAACTTTTTCAAATACACAATCCCAAGAATTGCTTTTCGTTATTGTTTGTACCTAATTCATTCTTTAGTTAAGGTTGAAGTCATTAGGAAGAGACAGTCATCAACGTGTCATTTAGGATATCTCAGTATTCCAATAATAATAATTGTTTATTGTTTGTTCTTTGGGGTTTTCCATTATTTATAATGAATGATGGGAGGATTATTTATGGTGATCGCTTAAAATTATAGGATTATTGTTTTCAACAGTGGTCTTAAATGGTCAAGTAACTATACCAAATGCAGCGCCGAATCTGCAGGCATATCTTCACGATAATTCGAGTATATACTTATTATTAATGTGTAACCTTATTTATTTCAACAACTTTGAAGTGTAGTGTCCTATGAACTTAGAGAAACCTTGCATGCCAAATTTGTAACAATGCAGGTCTTTGTGCCGCCACCTACAAGACTTTTAACAAATAAGTACTTACTTGTCAACACAGTGGGCGGCCGTTATAGCCCAGTTTTCGTTCAATAAAGCTGCACCACATTTGTGTAAGTAAGTCGATGTTCTCCATTGTCTTAAAGAGATCTGCCAGGGCCACTTGCCAAACGTTGATCTTTCACCTCCAACTATTCTGGCTTCGGGATACATTCGTCTTCCACAAACTGTTGCCAATAAAAGAGTCGATGTAATCATTACCATTTTATACAAATTACACATTTATGGATTAACTTCGAAAATTCACTTGTTCATTCTACAGCGCGCGAGCTAATAACCTTCGTGTCTACACGGAGTGAAGTATAAATGTAGACTTGCTCTGAAATTTTTCTCGCAACATCAATTGATAGCCAGAAGGATTTATTTTACCTTGAAAGTTCATGGACCGAAACAAGAGTGTGATTTAAATTAATATAAACACGAAGATTATTTACGCGATGCTTCAAACTTACCATCAGTAAAATCGCTCATATTTACACCACCGGTTGTCTGTGGGACTTGGACAGGTAGCAATGGCAAGGTAGTCGAAAGCGTTTCCGTGGTAATTGCACTTGAACTTGTCACATTAGCGCTTTCTCCGATTGACGACATTTGAGAACTTGAACTTAACGTGGAGGTTTGTACTGGCATTGTACTACTTTCCAGTGTGTAATTGACTGTAACCGAGCTCGCTGTAGGTGTTAGGGTTGATAAACTGGGAATGAGTACCCATCCATCTGGAGTGGTCAGTGGTTTCCATCCTAAATATTCAAGATTTATCGGTTCTAATGCTTATTAGCTCACGCACTTACCCTGGGATATGTTTGAGGGTTTCGTTGTCTCTTCGCTAATTGTTGACCACGTGATTAGCGTGGCGCTGGTAGTTTGTTCGACTGTGGGAGGTGGTTGTAGAGGCTTGACCTGCTCAATTTCGTTGGTAGCTGGGTTTCCAACGACTGGAACCTCGTTGGGTTCGACCGTGGATGTTGTGTTCAGCTTTACAAGAATCGGTATCACAGCCTTTTCTGTCGTTGTGACGGCGCTTGGTGTTTTAGCACTGGTTGAGGTTGCTGGTGGTTTAGTTGTCGTTGCACTAGTGGATGGTTTAGTTAATTTGATAGTTGACGATGAAACTATAATCGGTTTCTTTGTAATTATAGGTTTAGTAATTAATTTCACAGGCTTCGTTGTTCGTGTGGTTGTAGGTGTCGTTGGTCTTGTTAGTTTGAAAGGTTTGGTCGTAGTTGATGCCGGCTTCGGGGTCGATGAGGGTTTCGGCCTCGGTTTTGTGGTGTAAGACGGTGGTTTTATTGTTGTCACTGTGGTTTTCGTTGGCTTGGCTGTTACGTTTAAAAGTGACGTTGTGTGTTTCTCAACTGTTTGAAATGTTGAGAGTTTGTAACTATCTTCTGATGTTCTGGTGAGATTCTCTTCTTTTAACGTTGTAGTAGTCAACACTGATGTCGTATTAGGCATCAAACTGGATTGTGAAGTTACTATAGGTGACGTAGTGGTCGAAGACACTATCAAAGAGCTCGTTGATCTTGTCATGGTTATGTTCCCGTCAAACAAAATTCCTTCAATTTTAGTTGTAGGGTGCTTTGTTGTACTTGAAATTCGACTAGGTGGTTCGCGGGCAGGAATAATGGCGGTATCGATAGAATTACCATCTTCGTGGGCTGGTCTAATGTGACAACAAGAACCAAAGTAAAAACCATCTATGCACGTTCCTAAATGGGTCCCGTTAGCTTTTAGACAGTCTATTGCGAACATGCATACCCCTCGTTCATTACTTTTTCTTGACACGCAGGGCAAATTTCGAATGTTTCGTCCTGTGCTTCCTGGAACAAAAAATTGTGCTTAGTGTCGTCAATTTTTTAATTTTTCTTTAATTAATATTGTTTTTTGCAACTGAAGGGGATTTCAGGTAAATTTGCGTAAATGGACAGTTCAGAAAAGAACTGTAAACATTTGGTGCACCGTTTCTCCACCACTGCCCTAACAATGCCGACGGCGGGGAGTGTAAACGGAGCTGGGCTGAGCTTATTACCTATGACGTACCAGCAATGGGGTTGCTTTTCAATTATACTGTTTATATTCATTGATTCCTAACGTTTGATTATCTAATCTTTAACAAAGAAAAATTATACATAAGGAATTTTTATTAGTATCGTTTACATGATTCACAGTGCTTAGGTTTTTAGTTTTTATGCCGATTAGAAGTAATGTTCCACTTTTTAGTAGGTATGTTTAGTAGAACACCGTCATTTCTATTAATTTTAGTTGTGAAAAGAATGGAAACAGCGAATCTAGTTTGAAAGTTAATACATTTCAATCAAATACGCATCCTTGTTTCGTCCCGGTGGAGTACACCTTTTCAAATATTTATCGAGAATGCTTTAGCACACACCTTCAAGAGAAACCAATTTCGAAAAAAAATTCAAAGGGCTGTAACTTTTGAACTAGTAGCCCAATCCTGGAACTGTTTGAAATTATGGATTCTACAGGCCACATTCTATAAGAAAATTTTTTTTCCGGGTCGATCTGAGACAATTTTTTTTTCGGGCTCAAAAAAAGGCAGTGTATAACCTTCCTTTTTTTACCAAAAATCGACTACACCAAAATTTCTCGGGAAAACATTTTTTCTTATTAATTTGGGTGCGTAGAATCCAAATCAATTCGTACTTTTTCGATCAGACTTCTCAATCAAAAGTTATAGACTAGAAA